ACAGGTCCAGGTATTGGCACTTGTCACAGTTTTCGCAGGAGGCGGATATGGCACTCCCAGTGAAGTGATAACGAGACCGATCCTCACGGGCCGTTCCAGCCTGGCACCAGCAGTGTCCCCTGGACTCTCAGCTCTCAACCCCAATGAATACCCTGGCCATATCAGTACCAATTCCTCGCTGGCTTATCGCAGTGGATACCCCGGTTGGCAGCACTCGGATCGGACACACAGATACCTGACGCCTCGCCATGTCAGTCTCCCCAACCGCAAACCTGGTTCCAATGGCTCCAGGAAGACCCTCGCTGATTACCACAAACACAGCCGTGCACCTATTATGAATAAGCTCCATACACCTTCAGTCAATATATACCTTACACCCACTCCTAATTGGTACCATACAACTACTCACTATAGGTACCGTGCACCACTGGGGAATAAGTACCATACATTTAGCCACAGAAAGCTTCAAAAACCCAACCACAATTGGTATCATGCTCCTATCTACAATAGGTACCATAGCGTTATCCACAATAGATACCATGAAACAATCCCCGATAAGGTCCATAAACCTATCCAAAATAGGTATCATATATCTATTCAGAGTAAGTGCCATGTCAACGATAGGTACCATGAATTTATCCACGATAGTTACCATAAACCAATTCAAGATAGATACTATAAACCCATCCAGAATAGATACCATATACCTATCCAGAATAGATATCATATATCTATTCAGAATAGATACCATAGACCTATCCAGAATAGATACTATAATCCTACCCAGAATAGATACTATAATCCTATCCAGAATAGATACCATAAACCTATCCACTATAGGTACCATTTACCTACCTACAGCAAGTACCATAACCCTATCCACAATAGTTACCGTAAGCCAATCAATGATAGGTACCATAGACCCATTAAGAATAGGTACCATATACCTACATACAGCAGGTACCATAAACCTATCCACTATGGGTATCGTAAACCTGTCCACAATTGGTATCATATCCCTACCTACAGCAAGTATCATAAACCTACCGGCAAAAAGTGTCAGACGCCTACCCACTGTCATCACGATACTGAACCTAATTACCCACCCATAAGTCCTAATCCTACCTCTCCTCTATCCTCTGAGACTCCTGAACCTCTCACTACTCTGCTCACTGAAACTCCTGAACCTCTCTCTCCTACTGAATCTCTCACTGCCCTACGCACTGAAACTCCTGAACCTCTCTCTCATACTGAATCTCTCAATACGCTGCTCACTGAAACTCCTGAACCTCCCTCTCCTACTGAATCTCTCACTGCCCTACGCACTGAAACTCCTGAATCTCTCAATACGCTGCTCACTGAAACTCCTGAACCTCCCTCTCCCACTGAACCTCTCACTACTCTGCTCACTGAAACTCCTGAACCTCCCTCTCCCACCGAACCTCTCACTGCCCTACGCACTGAAACTCCTGAACCTCTCTCTCCTACTGAATCTCTCACTGCCCTACGCACTGAAACTCCTGAACCTCCCTCTCCTACTGAACCTCTCAATACGCTGCTCACTGAAACTCCTGAACCTCCCTCTCATACTGAATCTCTCAATACACTGCTCACTGAAACTTCCTCTCCTCTACTCACTGAAACTCCTGAACCTCTCACTACTCCACTCACTGAAACTACCACGACTCTGCTAACTGATGTAAACTCTGAAACCTCCAATGCTCCAGATATTTTACAAGGTCTAATCCCTGATTCTCCTCATTTCCGCTTCATTCTCCCTTCCGATTTCCCTAATCCTGATGCGTCTGATCTAATTCACGATTTGTCTAATACTTCTGCCGATTCTCTTCCTCCTTCTCTTTCTTTAACCCACGGCTCTAATCCTGAAACACGATCAGTCCATAATATTCCCAATCATCCCGTGACTCTAAGCCACAAATTTCCTAATCCTCCGAGTGGTCTTGGCCATGAATTGTCTAATCCTCCTAAAACACTAACCGCTGGTTCCCATAATACTCCTACGCTAATCCACGATTATCCTAATCCTCCTGCGACTCTAATCCATGATTTCCCTAATCCTTCAACTACCCTAATCCGGCAATCATCCGATCTTCCTACAACTCTGATCTCTGGTTCCCACAATCCTTCAGTAATCCACGATTTGTCTAATCCTAATCCCACTGCTTTTGTCCATAATTTCCCTAATCCTCCACCTACCTTAGTCCATGAATTATCTAATCCTCTTACGACTCTAATCTCTAATTCTCATAATCCTCCTACACTAATGCATGATTTTCCTAATCCACCCACTGCTCTAATCCAAAATTTTCCCAATCCCCCAAGTACTCTAGTCCACCAGTCAACTAATCTCCCTTTAGATCTAATCTCTGGGTCCCACAATCCTCCTACACTAATCCACGATTTTCCTAATCCTCCCACTTCTCTAATCCATAATTTCCCTAATCCTCCATCTACCCTAGTCCACCAGTTATCTAATCCTTCCACAAGTCTAATCTCTAATGCCCCCAATCCTCACTTTCCTCCAAGTCCCAATTCTCCTCAACATTCATCTGTAATTATCGATGATCCTAATCTTCGATCTACCCTTTTTACCAATTCTCAAAATCCTAATCTTTTTACCGATTCACAAAATCCTAATCTTTTTACTGATTCTCAAAATCCTAATCTTTTCACCGATTCTCAAAATCCTAATCTTTTCACCGATTCTCAAAATCCTAATCTTTTCACCGATTCTCAAAATCCTAATCTTTTTACCGATTCACAAAATCCTAATCTTTTCACCGATTCTCAAAATCCTAATCTTTTTACCAATTCTCAAAATCCTAATCTTTCTACAGATTCTCAAAATCCTAATCTTTTTGCCGATTCACAAAATCCTAATCTTTTCACCGATTCTCAAAATCCTAATCTTTTCACCGATTCTCAAAATCCTAATCTTTTCACCGATTCTCAAAATCCTAATCTTTTTACCGATTCTCAAAATCCTAATCTTTTCACCGATTCTCAAAATCCTAATCTTTTCACCGATTCTCAAAATCCTAATCTTTTTACCGATTCACAAAATCCTAATCTTTTCACCGATTCTCAAAATCCTAATCTTTCTACAGATTCTCAAAATCCTAATCTTTTCACCGATTCACAAAATCCTAATCTTTTCACCGATTCTCAAAATCCTAATCTTTTCAGAGATACTTCTAATCTACCTTTTCCGAACACTGGCGACTCTAACCCTCCTAAGTCCCCCAATCCCCAATCTCTAAGTGATTATCCTGATCATCGTTCATCCTTGATCATTGATTCTCACAATCCTTCTGTTCCTGTAGTTGCCAATCCCCCTAATTTCCCTTCTCCTAAAGCACCTAATCCTTTTCCTCTAATTGCTGCCTCTCCCAATCCCTCTTCTCCCATGGCTAACTCTCCCAATCCCTCTTCTCTAATCGTCCACTCACCTAGTCCCTCTTCTCCCATGGCTAACTCCCCCAATCCCTCTTCTCTCTTCGCTGCCTCCCCCAATCCCTCGTCTCTCTTCGCTAACTCTCCCAATCCCTCTTTTCAAACTGGTGATTCCCCCAATCCCTCTTCTCCCATGGCTAACTCCCCCAATCCCTCGTCTCTCTTCGCTGCCTCCCCCAATCCCTCTTCTCCCATGGCTAACTCTCCCAATCCCTCTCCTCTCTTCGCTGCCTCCCCCAATCCCTCTCCTCCCATGGCTAACTCTCCCAATCCCTCTCCTCTCTTCGCTGCCTCCCCCAATCCCTCGTCTCCCATGGCTAACTCCCCCAACCCCTCTTTTCTAACTGGTGATTCCCCCAATCCCTCTCCTCTCATGGCTAACTCCCCCAATCCCTCTTTTCAAACTGGTGATTCCCCCAATCCCTCTTCTCTAATCGTCCACTCCCCCAATCCCTCTCCTCTCTTCGCTAACTCTCCCAATCCCTCTTTTCAAACTGGTGATTCCCCCAGTCCCTCTCTTCTCATGGCTAACTCCCCCAATCCCTCTCCTCTAATTGTTCACTCCCCCAATCCCCCTCCTCTCATGGCTAACTCCACCAATCCCTCTTCTCTCTTCGCTGCCTCCTCCAATCCCTCTTTTCTAACTGGTGATTCCCCCAGTCCCTCTCTTCTCATGGCTAACTCCCCCAATCCCTCTCCTCTAATCGTTCACTCCCCCAATCCCTCTTCTCCCATGGCTAACTCCCCCAACCCCTCTTTTCTAACTGGTGATTCACCCAATCCCTCTTCTCTCTTCGCTGACTCCCCCAATCCCTCTTTTCTAACTGGTGATTCCCCCAATTCCTCTCCTCTCTTCGGTGCCTCCCCCAATCCCTCTTCTCCCATGGCTAACTCCCCCAATCCCTCTTCTCCCATGGCTAAATCCCCCAATCCCTCTTCTCCCATGGCTAACTCCCCCAACCCCTCTTTTCTAACTGGTGATTCCCCCAGTCCCTCTTCTCTCTTCGCTGACTCCCCCAATCCCTCTTTTCTAACTGGTGATTCCCCCAATCCCTCTTCTCTAATCGTCCACTCCCCCAATCCCTCTCCTCTCATGGCTAACTCCCTCAATCCCTCGTCTCTCTTCGCTGCCTCCCCCAATCCCTCTTCTCCCATGGCTAACTCTCCCAATCCCTCTTTTCTAACTGGCGATTCCCCTAATCTCTCTTCTCGAATCGTTCACTCCCGTAATCCCTCTCCTCCTTTCATTCACTTCCCCAATCCCTCTTCTCTAATGGCTGAATCCCCCAGTATCTCTTCTCTCATTGCTAACTCGCCTACTCCTTCTTCTGTCACTGACTCCCTTATTCCCTCTCCTCTAATAACTGAATCCCCCAATCTTTCTTCTCCAATCGCTGAAACCTCCAATCCCTCTTCTCTCATGGCTGACTCCCCAAATCCCTCTCCTCTAATCGCTGAATCTCCCATTCCCTATTCTCTAATCACTCACTCCCCTAGATCCTTTTCTCTAAATGCTGAGTCCTCTAATCCCTCTCCTCTCTTTGTTGAGTTCCCTATTCCCTCTCCTTTCTTTGCTGAGTTCCCTATTCCCTCTCCTCTCTTTGCTGAGTCCCCTAATCTCTCTTCTCTGACTGCTGACTCCCACAATATCTCTTCTCACGTGACTGACTCTCCTAATCCCTCTCCCTTAATCGGTGATTCCTCCAATCTTCCTTCTGCAAACCTTGATTCCTCAAATTTCCCTACAACCACTATTTCTCCCAATCCAATCATTGACTCCAGTAGTATTGGCAATTTTCCTTACTTCTTGCGTCTTCTCTAATTCTCACAATCTTCCATCTAACGGATTCACGTCCTTCCTCATTTCTATTTCCAATCCCATTCGTACAAGTGGACTTTTTAACATGTATTTTAGCATATAACTCAGCTTCAAAGGGATACTTTTAACTATAAGGACTTTTAACATTCAACACTTACTTTTTGAACATCACTTTAATATACAACTCAGCATCAATAGGATACTTTTAACTATTAGAACTTTTTACATGTATTTCAATATTTTAACATATAACATAGTTGTTGTAACACTGCGTTCGAAACTCCTTTTTTCTCTCGTCCAGACTTGTCAGGACCCTCTGAGGTCTTCAATACCTGCAATGCAACCAGCTCTGAAACATTTATTGTATTATTATAACTATTGCCTTTATTTTATACACTACATATTCTTCGTTACTTCTCTTATATATAGGAAACTTAGGAAACAATAAAGGCCCATATAATTATCTACAATTTTCTTATGGATGCTCAGAACTTGTCAATGTGTAGATACAAATGCTACTGAGACGTCATTTCGTCCTTCTCGCCCGACTGCAAAGGAGGGCGTGGTGAACGAGATGAACTTGTCCTGGACGCCAAAAATAGGGGTTCCAAATGGGCAAAACATCTACCTTTTCCTGCTTGTTGGATGCAGCATTAGTGGTTTGCTTAACGCTCTGTATTTGAAAAGCACTTTGTATATGGGTTTTCCCTTATGTATTGCAGTGGGAGAGCGTCCCAACCTTGTATTCGGGAAGAATCAAGAAAATAAATGAAAAAGTGAAAAATATATGTCTTAGTAGTTTACAACCGTTTATTCCATTTCCATTCCTCCTTGCTGTATCATGTTAGTCCATATATACGCATTGCAAAAATGAATAAAATAAGCAATGAACAGATGTTTTTGTAAGATACCACACTTTCTCTATTTGTTATATCGTCGTAGCTGAACTTGTAGTACATACGCAGCTTATGTTTATTAAAAAAAAAACACACACAAAAAAACGAATTACTCTATGAATTAGTTTCACTAACCTTTTCAAAATATAAAATCATCACCTTTGTTATTAGTAAAAGAATAGCTGTTGTTTTTGTTAATATTGTTGTTACTGTTATTGCCATTATTATCATTATTACTGTTATCCATATTATTAGTATAATCATCATCATCATCATTATTACTGTTATCAATATCATTACGATCATCTTCATCATTGCTGTTACTAGCGAGACACGCGAGAACGAAAACAAAAAAAAAAAAGAAAGTCTTTCTCTCTCCTTTTATCCTCCTCCTCCTTATACCCTTAGCCTCCTCTCCTCCTTTCCTTCTCCTTTTTGCTATCTTCCCTCACTCCCAAATCTTCCTTATATATATATATATATATATATATATATATATATATATATATATATATATATATATATATGTATATATATATATATATATATATATATATATATATATATATATATATATATATATATAATATACATACATACATATTAATGCATGAATATATATATATGCACACACGCATGCACACATATATTTCATTATTATTCTTTTCGTGTTTGATTCGCAGCAATAACTCAGTTATTGAACTATCTACATCAGTTTTGATTATTCTAAATTATGTGCCGCGTAAAAGGTCATTAGCGGCGAATGCCTTCTTGGAAATAAAATAATTGAAATGTTGAAACTCTATCAGTAAATTTCTTATAAATACAAATAAATAACAATAAATATAATATAAAAAAATCAAAGCATAAATGTGCTCTATATGTAGAAAATTATTGCGTAAATATTATGCATAATTAAATTTTATTAAAAATATTAGTCATCACTTCAGAAACTAACAAAACCTTGTGTCACTATCCTCTTCCAATACATTTTTTTTTGTGTATATGGGGAAGACAAGTGCATACGTCTTTGGTCTGAGAATGTTCAGCATCCCTCACAAAGTGCTTCAATTTTAGTCATCATCGACCCATGACTCAGTTTTGTGTGCCGGATTCTCAGTCTTGTTAACATAACTTGCTGGTTGGGATGGACGCTGGTCACCTAACTGCCAAGGTCACCTCTAATTTGTCGCAGTTTGTTTCTAGAGACATGCCTCCACTGATCCCTCCATTTAGAGCAAAGACAACTTTTGATGCTGGGTTTTAAGTCGGTGTATGGGAGAGGAAAAAGAGCATCACAGGGCTGAACGGCAGCTACATTGGCCTTCTGGGCAGTTTACAATGTTATAATTAACCGCCATGTTATGACGTCACACATTATAAAGTACCTTGTAAGTTACAACTGCTTCGGGGCTCTCGTACGGGTTTGAAACCGGATATAATACGATTTATTTCCCGATTACTTAGTCGACAAAAACAGTAACATACCTTTTCCATATTTAATACCGGGGAATTTCAATTGTCTGGTATTTTTTTGTGTTTCATGCATTAACATTATCTTGAATCAAATATAAATCGACTGTAAATTGAGTTGACAGACGACAAACAACAATGTTTAGGTGGCTGCTCTTCTTCATGATCGAACATTGCAACGTGAGACATTATTATAGGGAATCATTAGTTTCTCTCAATGAAGATTAGCATTTATTACTATATCACAGCTTTCTTAGATTTGTTTTCCTATAAGTTTTTTTATGCCAAATATGCAACTAAACAATCCTTTCAAGAATTATTATTCTTTTGTATGTTTACATCAATTTACTTCCACATGAAATTGATTTTTTATTCTTGTTTCCAAAAAATGTATGTAGCAAATTATACGTGACTTCATAAACACATTGTTAAAAATATAGGAAATAATATAGTATACTATATTTTAAATTTTTACCTGAAGATGATTGCAGCGTATTATCATTTTCTATTTGTGTGTAGAGTTATTCTGGGAAATTCATCTTAGTTGATTTATTTTATAGTACTTGGCTGAGTCTTTCAAAAATATCACTCGGGAAGACAATCGCTGGGCCTTCCATGGAGTTGGTGACCGTTGGAGGCGTGGCAATATAACAGCCATGGCTTTCCATTGGTTGTTACGTCTAGCAGGCTGACTGCTGATTGGTCAATCGACTCCCAGTCTGCCCTCTCTTGGTAGTCAATGGAATTAACTTACATTATAAACACGGGCCTTACAATGTGCTTACTATATTGTAATTATTTTTTGAGTATGGGCGGTTTACAATGTAGTAAGGAGATCGGAAGGTACGATATAATAAAGCGGTTACAACGTCCTCGGCCTTGTAACGGGCGGGTAGTTTAGAGTATCCCGGCCCTGATCAGCTCGCTCATTCCTAAAGATACCAATATGCGCTGGCATCCTACATTATATGTGCTGATATCAGTGCAGAAAGGTTCGTCGGATCTCTAGTCATCTTGACTGCTTTAAGGATAGCAAGGATGATTGCCAACTGCAGTCTTCCTCTTGCTCATTGTGGCAAAGGACACACCATTTTAAGATATCGAACCAACTGTAATATTGCATCTGATTCTTAGAAGTGTATTGAAGAAATTTTTCCCTGACTTCTGCTTTAAATCTCCCTCCTCACAATTCCGACCAAATCCAGCTCGAGTTGATGTAGATATAGATCCTGGAATTCTTTGCAGTCTCAAATAGTAATTAAGGTTCATGTAGTCCCAGTGTAATGAAAGAAGTGGTTCTCCATAAGTGAAGATTTGAAAACCCCTGTACAGATTCTGAGAGCTTCATTATGAACCGAGTCCAACACCTGGAGAACAGTGGGAGTTACAGATGAATAAGTCTCACATCCACTGTCAAGTTTGCTACTAATAAGTACTTGGTAAAGCTGCAGAAGCGTTGTGTGGTCTGCACCCTAAGATAGGCGTGAAAGATTTGATGTTTGATGTGAGGCACCCATGTAAGCCTTGAGTCAAAAATTAGACCCAACTGCTTCACCTCTTGAACAAAATGCAGTGGGTTTGCTCCTAAATATAGGGAAAGATGGAACTTTCCTCTTTTGTGGAAATATATAGCCATGGTCTTGCTTGGAGAAAATTTTAACTCATAAAATGTTTACCACAGTACAATCTGATTTATTGCAGTCTGCATGTGTCTTTGCGCATCCAGTAAGATTCCTCCAAAGCAATACAGTATGAAGTCATCAACATACTGACTACATGAGAAAGCACTTAGAACCTTTACAAATTCATTTATAGCAGTGGCAAACAGGGTCACACTTAACCCATTCTCGCCGGGCATGCCATGCCATGGCCACTGTGAGATTACTTGTTAGATTGTTTTCACACATAGATGGCTACACTTGTACTAAATCACCAATGAGCCAGTTACGAGTACCGCCTGTCTCGCCCGTTCACCCTTTTCTTTGATTTACGAAATATTTTACGTTATCTTATTTTGCTGTTACTAATGTTTAAAAACATTATAAAAATTACAAAGTTTATAATAAAAATAACACCATTGATATTCATGGCACTAGTGAAAAATACGTTTTTCCCGCCATTTCAAATCGGCGCTAACAGAGCCATCTATGGGCAGACATTTAACAAAAAAGTATAGAAAATAGGCACAGCATTTTCCCCATTTTTTGTTCATTTATCCCACCTTCACTCTAAACTTCCTATCAGCAAGGAAAATTTGTAGAAGGTAGGCAATACTCCTCTTAAATATCCGGGAGCATTATGAGTATGCCATGCTTTCAAATAGTATCTTAAGCCTTTTAGAAATGAAAGCCTTTCCTTACAGCCTTCACCTCCAGAGTTGTCTGCAGGTGGATATCTGGAAGGAAATATCCTGATGTAGGTCCCAGATGAGCTTGAACTTGGAATCTTCTCAGGGATGTGATACTCTTTTTCCTGGTCATAATCTCTTGTAGGCACAACCTGGGTTACATGAAGTGATCCCATATTGCAGTTTTTCCTATTTTGTATGAATTTCCTGACAATTCCATTGGATCAGGGTATCCAGTTCTTTAGGCTGACAAACTACTTTGTTTGGCGGCACCTGTGGTTAAGGCCCATCCCACATCTTTTTTGGGGTGTTGTTTACCTGTAGAACTATTTTCCACAGGCTTCCTTTAGATAGATCCAGGTTTTTCTTTGCCTGGGCAATGGACGGACCTGAGCCTTTGATTCTGGAACATTCTGTCTAGCAGTAGAGGCCCCTGTGAACATGGTGGCAGCTGGAGCCCTGCCTGATGGCTCCAAAGACCCCAGTTTGAGGGGAGTCCTTTGGACAGGCTCAGGATTCCTTTGCCTTGACAAAGGGCAATAGAGGCAGTTTCAATATTTGAGAACTGAAGCTAAACTGTAGTGGTAGAGTGTGTGGTGCAAGAAGTATTGGAAGGTAAGGAATGGCAGATGGACTAGAACTGATGCAAAGACTTGCCT